TCCATTCATGTCACCCTCCCACATCTTTCTGAGATGGTTATGTTGGGAACCTGCAGGGTTTAGGAGGAGTCTTCGTCTTTATGGTCTGCATGTGCAGTATTGTTGAAACTTGCAAGTACTTGTTTGTACTTGAGTGTTTTGCATCAGAAGCTCCTTCTTGGAGATTTTTTTATTTTTTTTCTTTTTACCCGTGATGCCTTTTCAGGTTTTCACCATGTCAAATTTTGTTTCGTTTTTGCATTTTGTTTTTTTTTTTTGTCTTTATGGTGCATTTTTAGGTTTTCACCACTCTTTTGAGCTCGTTATGGGTAGTATTTTCTGAGATATATCGAATTAATGGAGTCATTGAGCTCGTACCCCTCCTGGTTTTTTTTCTTGTAAGAATTGTCTGCGTGCACTCGGGAAGCCACGAATGGCCCCTCCCAATTAGGTTTGAACTTACCTAAAACGGTGTGGATTTGCACAAGTGTGAAAGAGTTTCTTGAGTACCATGTCCCCTGCTTTGAACTGTCGAGGAACAACTGTTCTTTGGTATGCCCTCTTGATCCTACACTGATAAGCAATAATATTTTGTGTTGCTCATAATCGTCTTTTATCCAAATTAATGAGAGCAGCTATTCGTGCTTCGATCTTTTGTTTCTCATCAGAGTTTTTGTGAATAAGCACTCGGAGAGACGGTGTGTCAACTTCAATGGGCAGCACTGCTTTCATACCATACACCAATGAATATGGGGTCATGTAGGTAGGCGTCTTCTCAGTTGTTCAGTAGGCCCATAACGCCTCATTTAGCTTTTGCACCAATCTTTGCCACCTTTTATTATTTTGTCTATTATTTTGAGAAGTCCTTTGTTCGTAGCCTCTGCTTGTCCGTTTCCTTGAGGATAATAAGGTATGGAGAATTTTTGTATTATCTCGAACTTTTTGCACACTTTAGTGACCCTTTCATTTTTACAATTGGATCCATTGTCAATAATGATTGACTCAGGAACATCGAATCTGAATACAATGTTTTTCTTTATGAAACAGACAATATGTTGTCCTTCAATTTTGACAAATGATGCGACCTCTACCCATTTGGTGAAGTACTTTGTAGCCATTAATATAAAACGGAGGCCGTTTGAGGCTTTCGGTGAAATCATTCCGATGATATTAAGACCCCACATAGGAAAGGGCCATATAGGCGGTGTTGAGTTGAGTGGTACGAACGGTGCATGGATGAGGTATCCATAAAGTTGACATTTGGGACAACTCTTAATGACCTTCCAACAATCTTCGGGCATGGTGGTCGAGTAATAGCCTTGGCGCCTAATTTTATGAGCTAAGGCCACTGCTCTAGAGTGACCTTCTTCATTACGTAACTCTGTTAATACTTGTCATTTTCTGGCTGATCGAGACACTGTAGATGGATGCCATCGAAGGATTTCTTGAACAAGAGATCACCTCTTACTAAGAATCCCATAAAAACCCTTTGAAGGGCTTCTTTATCGTTTTTGGTGGCTCATTCGGGGTATAACCCATTTTTAGCAGGAACAAAATATCGTGGAACCATGGTTTTGCCTTAACTAACACATTTGAACCTACGAGAGACATGTCTCTATTGTTATCATTTTCTTGTTCTATTTCTTCTTTGATCTTTGGTGGGGAAGGGTCACGTTTGTTCCTGATGTTGAATGACAGTGTGGTGATTTCTGGAGGAATATCAACCATCAAGGAAAGGGTTCCAAGGGTGTCAGCAAACCGATTATTTTCTCTAGTTACGTGCTGAAAGGTGATTTTCTTAAAATATGGGATCATCTTTTCCACCTTTTCTTGGTGAGGTTTGAGCTTTTCTTCTTTCACCTTCCAAATTTTTTTGAACTTGGTTTATAACGAGTAAGGAGTCCCTAATTACTTGTATTTGCTGGATTTTCATTCCTATAGCGTTCTCGAGCCCGGCTATTAAGGCTTTATATTCAGCAATGTGGTACATGGTGTTGGAAGACATTCCATCATCATCGGTCCCACGTCAATAAAGCTTAACAAATAGTAGAAATGTCGATAGTTTCAGAATGGCCCCAGAACTGGTCAAGACTTTCATGAGGATTCCTAAGAGTCTCCTACCAAGTTTCGTTGCATTCCGACATGTCTAACGTAGCGCAGACTGAGAAACAGTTCGACAGAATCAACCTCTAGCGCCCTGAAACGGACCTTTATAACTAGAACTATATTTTCTGTAGATCAACTTGCCATGGGACCACCGCCATTGGATCCGACACTATAGATATACCTCAAAGGTCAAATTTTAGCTTAAACGAACACTCCAGGAATACGTTATAGGTGAAAGATCGAAACCAGAGGAGTCGCACACTATTCCCGTGAAGCCACCTTGCAACTAAACTCCATTAAAGGGACAGTGATGAACAGTGACTTGCGGCACTTATATCTCCCTCGTTCGAAATTGAATCATGCTCAAACTTGATGGAGCGTGTTTGTCTCGTCGAGACAAGCATTTTGATATGTGGCACGTCTCGCGACGATGCCCGAGCGCGATGAAAAGCCAGAGAGAAGTTGTTGATAAGTAAGAAAGTTGCAGGAAAATCAGCAGCGTTGCACCTCGCTCGATTGGCCAAATCACTCCGCACGTAAGCCCGATCGACACGAAACTAGTTCCATCACGTGCGTAAGGTCTAGGGCTTTCCTAGTTTGACATGATGAACAATCGGATTCCGCACACGAAGCCCACGAAATGACTGTAAATTTGGGCACCGGAATTCCAAATTCCAGCCAAAACTCCACAGTTGCAAAATCTTTGTTCAGACACGGAATCGAGTTGCGTTTATTGCCACGCGATCGTTATGGCATGCTCAGTGTGATCCAATGAAAAAATCACAAAAAACATCAAGGAACGAGTACACTATCGATCCGAAGTTTCATGATTCATCCAAATTTTAAGACCCATGATCGTGCCCTAAAAACACGATCCACGGCTTGAAGTTTGTATCAAATCGATCGTTATGCCCAGCCCTATAAGAAAACAACCATCTTTCGATCAAACGGGCATCAGAACAACCCTGGATCATCTATGAAAAATCATGCACGTTCCAAGGCAGCACATGAACGGTTTTGGAATTCTCCAAATTGTTAAGAATAGGCAAATCTGTCATTTTGTACCTTACTTTTTAATTTCTTTTATATTAATTAAATCTTAATTTCTAACAATCAGGTTTAATTTTGATCAATCCACCCATGTTTGGGTCACAATACTATATACCACGTACTATCATTGTACGCAGACTTCACTTGCTTAATAAAATTTTTATCTTCCCTATTGTCGGGTCACGTCTTGGGAGAGAGAGGAAGGAGAGAAATTTTTTGGTCGATACCCTTGGGCTTAACATTTCCTTTCTCTCTCTTCTTTCACAGACAGCGGAAGCTTATCGCCGTTAGTGCTTCACTCTTTCTTCCTCTCTTTTTCTCTCGTCCTTCTTGTGGTCCCACATGACCACTAACCCCCTTTCTTTTTCTTTTTACCCCTACATGACCATTTTTACCCTATGCATCCTCGGGTTTACTTGCCTCTCCTTTTTTTGGTAGTCCCTCATGTACTTCTTTTTTTGGCATACGGGCGCCCCTTTCCTAACACTATCGCCCTCATCTTCACAGCCGTCCACAACCCACATGGCAGCAACCTGCTACACCCCACCTTTCTCCGCTGCTTCCTTCATCGCAGCCACCACCCATGATCAACCCAAACTCTCCCAGTTCCTTCTCCCATACACACGCGACTGCCCATGACTTTCCCTCTTTCTTTCTCACCCCATCTCTCCCCAGCTCACCGCGTTCTCTCTAATCACTGCCATCCCCAATTCACTGCTGTCTCTATCCCTCATCGCTACCACCAGCAGCCCAACATTTGCTTCCCTCCTCTTCCACCATTACCACCTCAGCCGCTCAACTTCCTCCACCTGCTGCAACCTCTCGCAGCCTCATCTCCCTCGATCACCTGCTGCTACCACTACAGTAGCCATCGTCTCTCCCCTCTCTTCATATCTCCTTGCTCTCAGCCTTCACCTCACCCCTCTTCTTCTCCATGGCCACCATCTGCCTCCTCTCTCTGCCGCCACACTGCCACCAGGTTCTCTTTCTCTCTCTAAGAGTACCTGCAACCTGCTCGCTTCCCACTCTCTCAAATTGCAGCCATTCTCGTTACCTTGATGCTACCATCTCCAGCCACCGCCTCCATCTCTTCCACCTTGCTGCGTCCACCTCCATCTTCGACACTCTGTTCCACCCATCTACAACCACTCGCCCACCTCTTCTTTCCCTCCCGTGACCAAGCTCCGACTTTCTCAGTCACTTCCGCCTCTCCCGCTCTCCAGCCCCTCTCGGTCACCTACTCATTTCGTCCCCACTTGTTTTTTTTTTCGTTTTCGTTGCTCCCACTTGTGTTTTTTTCGTTTTCGTTGCTTTCTTTTCTTTTCAAAACTTTCAGTCAAACTTTAGTTTCATCCCACTTTTCGTCGCGCTTCGCTCAAGCCCTCGCACCTTAAAAACCCAATGCCCCAACTCTGCATTTGTCTTTCTTAAGCAACTTTATTTATTTTTATTTGACTCCATACCCTCTCGTTCCAATAAAAACCTAATGCCATGTCATCCAAATGACTCAACACTCAACCCTCTCTCTCTCAATCAATTCTTTTTTTTTTATATTATTTTATTAACTTACACCGTTTTACTTCCTCTACCCTTTTTTTTTACTTTATTCCATGATACTATTGCACTTTTATTTCATTCCATTTTATTCCATTCATTTCACCTCACTCACTTTATTACACCATAGCCTACTCTTATTCCATCCATTTATTTTATCATCTCATCTCATTTTATTTCCTCCCAATTTATTTTACTCCACTTCATTTTACTTTGTCCCACTTCATTTTATTTATTTTAGTTTATTTAATTCTAATTCCATTTTATTTAATTCACCTACTTCCTTTTCCTTTCATCTTATTTTCCATCATTTTTATTTCACCTTCACTTTTATTTTCACTTTCGTCTCTCTCGTTCTCTCAATCGCTTGTTTGACCAGAGGGCAGGTTGAACCTCGCGCTCGTGCGAGACTTGTCGTCGAGCAGTATTGCTGTCGTGCCAGTCTGAGTTACCGTGCCCGTCTTGCTGCCACAACAGATTTGCTTTTATGTCAAGCCGATCGATGTTGATTTTGACATCGCGAAGCCTTGTCGTCGCGCCAGTCTGAGTTACCGTGCCTGTCTTGCTACCACGTAAAGTAGATTACCGGATCAATTTTGCCATCGTGCCAGACTAGCTGTTAGGATAGTCTCGTCGTCGAGCAATATTGCCGTCGCAGCCGGTCTGAGTTACCATGCCCGTCTTGCTGCCATGTCAGACCAGCCGTTGCGCCAGTCCTGTCACTGGATCAATCAAGTCACCTGGTCGAACTTCTTCTCTCATTTTCATTTCTTTTATCTTTGTATGGCAAGGCAGGGTCCTGTGACCACACCTCTATTTTGACATGTGTGTGTGCTTGCAAGAAAGGAGAAATAGGTCAAGGGAGGCGATTCCAAACCGGTCGTAGGCCATGGGGGCTTTCCAACGTGATCTAAGAGGGCACCCACGAGAGTCAGCCCAAGTGTGTCACGGACCCATGTGAGGTAAGTCTCGCCTCACAACCCAAATTCCTCTCTCACTAGTTGGACACTTGCCCTTGTTTTGTGAACAAGATTCCCGAGAGAGTGATCTCAGATCCCGATTCTTTTGAACCCAAGACACGTGTCACCTGATTACCTAGATCTGGGAAGGCGAGATCGAGGCACCTAACCGGCTTGGCGATTCCACTGGGGATACGCTACCCCATCATTGGATCGTTCTTGTTTGACTTTCCTTTCTCTTTATTCCTGCTCACTATACACAGACCTATCTCTAGGGTTACTTAACCCCTTCATCAGAGTCAAGGGTTTCGTAGTCCACGCACTCATGAGTCTTCATTGGGAACAGGTTCCGTGAACCTCATGCAAGACCTTTCTCCTGAGCATCGACCCTGTGTTGCGTTCTCAGTTCATCACCTGGGTAAAGGTGAGGATAGACTTACAAGTCCCTCACTCCCTACGTCCTTGCAATGGTGGACCTTCTGCCAACGCACCTTGCATTGGTGGCACATATGAGACCACACAAAGCACACACCCTGCTACCGGCATTTCACACGCTGTTCCCACTGCTTGGGGCAGCCCGAAGGTTGCCGCTCCCTCTCCCGCGACTGACAATTCATTTGTCATAACTCATGCGGGTCACCCCGAGGCTACCCCCCATTCTCTATCACTTTGAGCCCCTATAACAAGAGGCTCAACACCTAGGAGGAGGTGGCTCTGAAGCCACTACCTCGCACACACTCATCAAAGCTAGGGAACCATCCATGCAAGCCACAACTTGAAGCAACCCACCAGAGCAAGGGAACCATCCATGCAAGCCACACCCTGTGCGCGTCGAGGTGTAGCGCCACACGTGAGTTGGGCTAGCAACGACTATGTTGTGTGCAGTGCCGACGGTGTTGTGTGCAGTGTCGACTGTGTTGTGTGCAGCGCCGACTGTGTTGTGTGCAGCATCGACTGTGTTGTGTACAGCGCCGGCTGTGTTGTGTGCAACACCGGCTATGTTCTGTCTAGTGCTGCTCTGTGGTGTGCATCACCGACTGTGTGGTGTGCAGCGCTAGCTATGTTGTGTATAGCACTGACTATATTGTGCGCAGCACCGGCTGTGTGGTGTGCAGCGCCGGCTATATTGTGTGTAGCGCCGGCTGTGTGATGTGCAGTGCTGGCTTTGTTGTATGTAGCGCCAGCTATGTGGTGTGCAGCATCGGCTGTGTTGTGTGCAACGCCGGCTGTGTGGTGTATAGCACCAGCTGTGTTGTGTGTAGTGTCGGCTGTGTAGCGTGCATGGGCAGCGAACGCCACGTGTCCCTTGCTTGTTGTTTAGTGTGCCTTGAGCTTGCCACTTGTTGACCATGTAAGCCCATGTTTGCCACTTGTGAACTCTTAAACACCACTTGTCACTTGCTGCCCTTTCCTCTCTTACAAATAAAGCCCTTCTTATCTCTCCAAGGACTTTTGTTCTCTCTCACTCTCCCATGTCCTTATTCTCTCTACCACACATAGAGCCTCAAGCTTTGGGAGCTTTACCTTTGAAGGGGATCTTGGTGGGAGGTAAACTTCGAGTTGTTGTGAGGTTAGTGGATCCATCACCATTGCATTATAGTCATAGGGATGCATGAGTTTTATGCTTGTGAGATGAGTAATGAATGTGTGAGTGATATATAAATTCCTTTTGCCTTGTTCACTGAATTTTGGGATTTTTGTTCTATAATGGAACTGGATGCTGAGAATGAATGTATGATTCTTAGATTGTGCAAGAAATGCATGTTATGTGTGTTCTTTGTGAGAGGATTGTTGTTATCATGTTCTTTACCATCGAATGAAGGTTATGAAATGTGTTCTTGAAACATGTTATATGCTACTGTGAAATTCTAGAACTATGTGTGTTCTTGAAAGAGACTTTTGAATAGACAAACAAAGGCTGATTGATCTCAAATCACCACCATTAAAAATATATGCGAGTATAGTAAAATGTTCAATTTTACCCAATGCCCAAATTATTTATAAAAATGAAGTTATGATTCAAAATGTATGAATAGGTCAATGTTGGTTGTTTTCCAGAATTTTCACTGACACTGCTATGGTTACTGGTTTTAACTAGCCAAACGAGGTCTAGTTTTCAGTCAAACCACTGCCATTTGAATGGCCTTTGAGTGGACTAAAACTTGCATGTAAAAATTAGTTTGAAATTCACTTTAGATTAGAAGTTATACACCATTTTATGAAGATATGTTACTGTAGACAATATTGATAAAATTTAGAACTATTACCTTGTTTGGAAAGAATCTTTGAACCACCAAATGGAGTTGAAATACTTTCAAATTTGCTTGTTAGAAAGATATATGTCTTGGCTTAAACTTATATTTTGAAACCGTCACAAGTCGCTTCACAGTTTGGGAATTATAGTGTTATGAAGCAGGGTACGTTGCTGCCCCCTGTACACAACAGGTTACAGCTGGTAAACTGGCATCTCTTTGAACCTTTATGACGCCAAACGAGGTCAAACCACCCCCATTTAAAACCCTATTTACGAGTATTTAGAACCCTATTTACGACTAGATGTCATGGCTTGGAATTGTAGTTGTAACACTTGTTCTGTGATATGGACACTGTTATTATGTGAGACTGATATTGTCATTCCATAATATTGATACTATCATTATGTAGTATTGATACTGTTGTTCTATGATAATTAGCATGACCATTATGTGACATTGATACTGTCTGATTCTGTTATATGAATACTATGATATGTGTTATGACCACTATGCAATGGGTCCTCTATTGGTAGTGGGGTATACTGTAGCGGAATATATGACTTCTGAGTGCGCATGAGGTGATATGTAGCCGTTGGCATACTATGTATGTGAATGGGTACCTATTGTGTGAAGGATGCTACAGTGCTACTTACGTGATATGTGAATGGGTACCTACTGTGTGAATGATGGTACCTTACTGCTTACATGATACGTGAATGGGTACATACCGTGTGAATGATGGTACCATGCTGCTTACGTAACATGTGAATGGGTACTACTGTGTGAATGATAGTACCGTGTGGCTTACATGATATGTGAATGGGTACCTACTATGTGAATGATAGTACCGTGCGACTTGCATGATATGTGAATAGGTACCTACTGTGGGAATGATGGTACCGTGTTGCTTACGTGATATATGCCTACAGTGTGAATGATGGAACCGTGCTGCTTACGCGACATGGGAATGGGTACCTACTATGCGAAGGATGGTACTGTGCTGCTTATGTGTTGTGTGAATGGGGAGCTACTGTGTGAATGATCGTGCTGGCAGCTAAGATCTTTCCTTAACTCCCCATGACAGGATAGGAGTCAGGATGTGAATATGAATAATTAGGATGGTCGCGCCCCCCTGATTTATATGGGCACAGCGCCATGGGTCCCCCTTTGGTAGTTGGATATTGTAATACTGTGACTGTTATGTGATTACTTGGCATGTTTTGAGCATGTCACATGGCAAAGTGAGGTACGCATGGGGTGACATGTGATTTTCTTAGCAATGCCTTATGCCTGTTACATCGTCCGAGATGGGTAGTCGCTTGAGTTATGGGATGGACTTGAGATATATGATTTATCTGAGTTATATGATTGATTTGCGAGATATGGGATTGGCTTGATAGATAGGGCTAGAGAGTGGGGTGTATCTGTTGATTGTTTTATGCTCTCTTGTTTGTGTTGATTGGTTGAGATTGATGGATTGCTAGTGAATGAGATCTGATAGCTTATATTATGCCTGCTCTACCATGAAAATCATCATTCTATAATTGTGGCATAATTGTGATGCACAATTCCTGTTTTATGAGTATGACATAGAACCTTGGGCATTGTTGTGATATTATGTTTTTAGGCAGGGAAGCCTGATGCTGTGATCTACTTACTGTGATTTTTTAGTTCATTCCTTTGTTTCCATTCTTGTAGATTTTCCGCTACAGGTCGAGGACGGTGGGAGGTGATCGAGTTTGGTGAACTGAAAGCCAGTGCTCGACGAGTGGATCTCTATTCTTGTGTAGGTGTTTGTTAATTGTCGGGCATGCAATGGTTGTTTATGAAGTTATGTATTTTGTGGTCAGGCATGTAGTGCCTTGGATGAATTGTAATATTCTGGATACTGTACTTATGACTTTTGGAGACTCTATATGGATATGAAATGGTTTTAAATTATCCAGCTTTTGTTGTTGTTTCTTGTGGAGGTTTGTGCTTTTTCTTGGGTTTTTCTTTGATTCCACACCTTTAACACGTGTTGATGCCACTCCCACCTGAGTGACGTACATAACCTTCGATCGCGATCCCACACTCTGTCACCCTCCAATAATGGACGGTAGGGGTCAGGGGGCGGGGTCGTGACAGTTTCGGTATCATAACAACCAGGATAGGTTCCTTGGCTTAGGGAGCTTTTAGGAGCATCATTAGAGTGGTTTTAGAATGGAGTAGTGACTGGGTATTCCTATGACTAGGTTGAAGATGCCGAGAGATCGTGGCTACTATGCGAGTTCCAGCAATTATAACACTGCCTCGATGAATTTTGTAGAACTTTGGGGGCCTTGACACAGATGATGAAGGAAGCAATGCCAGCCCTATCCACCCTTACCTCAAGACAGAATGATAGTAACCTGAGAGAGAGGTTTAAGAGGCTGGCACTACCAACTTTCTTAGGATAGGGAGGTGTAGAGAAAGCAGAGAGATGGCTAATTCAAGTGGAAAAAATATTTAAAGTCCTCTAGTGCTCAGATAAGCAAAAGTTGAGACTAGGTGTCTTCATGTTAGAAGGGGATGCCGAACATTGGTGGCGTTCGGTCCAGCAAGCCTGGGAAGAGCATGAGATACTACCTACTTGGGAAGGATTTTTAGAGGCCTTCAATGAAAATATTTTCCTTAATCAATAAAAGAAAGGAAGGAGGTTCAATTCAAAGAGCTACAATAAGGGAATCTAACCATTGATAAGTATGTGGCTAAATTTTCAGAGTTATCCCGATACGCGTCATATATCATCAACACAGAGGCTAAGAAGGCAAGCAAGTTTGAGAGAGGTTTGCGGCTCGATATCAGATGGAGAGTTTTGTCAGCCAATCTTAAGGCTTTCTCTCATTGGTGGGCTTGGCTGGGAAGGTGAAAAAGGACTGTGACGAATATCAACTAAGGGAAGAGAAGCGAAGGACAGGGCCTCAGCCCTCTGGTGGTCCACGAGAAAAGGGAAGTTGGAGGAATGGAAAGACCCAAAAGACCTCCCGGGGTGACGTCAAACAGAGCCAGCTCATGTATTGCACCTCTTGCAGGAACCCGGGCTATGCAGCTTCTGAGTGCTGGCTGAAGACCAGGACATGTTACAACTATGGCAAGTCAGGCCACCTGATTAGAGACTGCCTGATATTGAAGGATGAACCAAACCCAAGACTCAGGGTCGGGCCTTTGCACTCATCGGGGAAGGAGTTAAAGCCCCGACATTGGGGAACTACGAGTGTATTTTGATTGGAATGTAGAATCTAAAGTTTTATTAGATCTTGTTTCTTCTCACTATTATTGTAGTACCATGTTTTGACATATCTAATGAAATTTGGACCGTTACTGCATGATTATGCTTAAATTGTTGCAACTGATTTGGGGGATGCTTAGAGACCCCTTTATTATGATACGACCTGTGTGGCCAATTGTGTGATGAATGGAATGTGATGTGTGAAACATGATTTGATTGTAGCGAGTGCTATGAGGTTTTGGGAGCATACTGCATGACCCTAGTTGATATTGTGATTGTGATAGTTAGGTGCCTGCTTTGAGCCTAATGTAGGGCTCAACTTTGTGATTTGTTAGGTGCCTACTTTGAGTGTATTGTAGGGCCTGACCTTGTGATAGCTAGGTGCCTTATTTGCGCGTATTTTAGGGCCTGACTTTGTGATTTGTTAAGTGCCTACTTTGAGCATATTGTAGACCCTGACCTTATGATAGTTACATGCCTGCTTTGAGGGTATTGCAGGGCCTGACTTTGTGATTTGTTAGGTGCCTACTTTGAGTGTATTATAGGGCCTGACCTTGTGATAGTTAGGTGCCTGCTTTGAGCGTATTACAGGGCCTGACTTTGTGTTTTTCAGGTGCCTATGTTGAGCATATTGTAGGGCCTGACCTTGTGATAGTTAGGTGCCTACTTTGAGCATAATGTGGGGTCTGACTTTGTGATTTATTAGGTGCCTACTTTGACGGTACTGCCTGACTTTGTGATTTGTTAGGTGCCTACTTTGAGCGTATTGTAGGGCCTGACCTTGTGATAATTAGGTGCCTGCTTTGAGCTTATTGTTGGGATTAACTTTGTGATTTGTTAGGTGCCTACTTTGAGCATATTGCAGGGTCTGACTTTGTGATTTGTTAGGTGCCTGTTTTGAGCGTATTGCAGAGCTTGACTTTGTGATTTGTTATGTGCCTACTTTGAGCGTATGGTAGGGCCTGACCTTGTGATAGTTATATGCCTGCTTTGAGTGTATTACAAGGCGTGACTTTGTGATTTGTTAGTTGCCTACTTTGAGCGTATTGTAGGGTCTGACCTTGTGATAGTTAGGTGCTTGCTTTGAGAATATTATAGGGCCCGACTTTGTGATTTGTTAGGTGCCTATTTTATGGTGCGACTCTGTGATTCTGTGGTGCATGCTTTGAGCATATTGCATGACCGCGACCAAGATTGTAGGGTTCTTACTTTGAGCATATTGTAGGACCCGACTATTGTGATTGATACTGATAGGGTACCTACTTTGAGCATATTGTAGGACCTGACTATTGTGATTTATACTGATGGGAAGGGCCTGACCTTATGATGGATAGTAGTGAGGCCCCTGCTTTGGGCGTAATGTAGGGCCTGACCTTATGTGATTACTTGGCATGCTTTGAGCATATTGCGTGGCCTTTACTGACACTAGTGAGGTGCGCACAGGGTGACGTGATTTTCCCGGCAATGCCTTGTGCAAGTTACATCTCCCGAGATGGATAGTCGTCTGAGTTATGGGATTGACCAGAGATATATAATTTACCTAAGTTATATGATTGATTTATGAGATATGAGATTGGCCTGATAGATAGGGCTAGAAAGTGGGGTGTGTTTGTTGATTTTGTTATACTCTCTTGTTTGCGTTGATCTGTTGAGATTGATGGATTGCTCATGTATGATATCTGATATCTTATATTGTGCCTGCTCTACCATGAAAGGCATCATTCTATTATTGTGATGCACGATTCCTATTTTATGAGTATGGCATATAACCTTGAGCACTATTGTGATATTATGTGTTTAGGCAAGGAAGCATAATGCTGTGATCTACTTATTGGGCTTTTTAGCTAATTCCTTTGCTTCTATGCTTATAGATTGTCCGCTGCAAGTCGAGGACAGCTAGAGGTGATCGTGTTTGGTGGACTGATAGCCCATGCTCTACGAGTGGATCTCTATTCTTGTGTTGGTGTTTGTTAGTTGTCGGCCATGCAGTGGTTTGTTTTATGAAGTTATGTATTTTGTTGTCAGGCATGTAGTGCCTTGGATGAATTGTAATATTCTGGATACTGTACTTATGACTTTTGGAGACTGTATATGGATATGAAATGGTTTTAAATTATCTCACTTTTGTTGTTGTTTCTTGTGGGAGTTTGTGCTTGTTCTCGTGTTTTGCTTTGATTCCACACCTTTAACACTTGTTGATGCCACTCCCACCTGAGTGATGTACACGACCTCCGGTCGCGATCTTGCACCCTATCGCCCTCCGACATGGGATGGTAGGGGTCAGATGTCGGGGTCGTGACACAGCCTCCTACACATCTCTTCCTACATCCTTCATCACGAGCCCCTAGTTAAAAGACAAAACCCCTTTGAGGTGTCCTCCCAAATCAAGGTGTACCTCGGTTCCGACTGCGAGGTTTCGTAGCAAAGCATGTAACCATCAAGGCGTGCGATTTCCTCTATAAGGCCATATCACAAAGAGGTGTAACACAGTTTCAACTGTGAGGTTTCGAATCATAGTATGCAACTGTCAAAGCATGTGATTTCCTCTATAAGGCCATACCACAATTTTGATTGTGAAGCTTCGAAGCATAGCATGCGATCGTCAAGGCATGCGACCACCTCTACAATGTCATATCACAAAGAGGTGTATCATAGTTTCGACCGTGAGGCTTCAAAGCAAAGTATGCAAGGCATGCACTCGCTTCTACAAAGCAAAATCTCAAAGAGGTGTACCACAGTCTCAACAATATACCCCTACACCTGATATGGTGCTTTCACCACCCATTGTAACCCCATTACCGATGAGTGTGTTCTACCACTATCCCTAGTGGGGTTACACATGTGCTCTGGCCTGTCATCCCTAGTGGAGTTACATGAAGCCTCATCCTTCACCCCAAGGAACGACATTCCCTTACTATGGTATGGTTCGTGTTGCATGACCTTAAACTGCACGGCCATGGTCTAGATGCACGACCCTAAAATGTGTGGTCCAAACTATATGACCCTAAACTGTAGCAGAGATCTTGTCATACGCCCTTAAACTGCATGGTCCTACTTGCATGACTCTAAACCGCATAACCATGTCCAAACTATATGACCTTAAACTGTAGCGGAGGTCTAGTTGCATGACTGTAAACTGCATGGTCCTAGCCGCATGACTTTAAACTGCATAGCCATGGTTCGAGCTACAAGACCTTAAAACTGTAACGCACAACGTGACAAATAGTCCATATGCATGACCTAAATTGTGAAATGGGCGCATTGCTTCACCAGGTGTATTCCATCAACATCCTCAGTCGAGTTAGACGTATTCCATCAACATCCACAGTGGAGTTAGGCGTATTCCATCAACATCCCTAGTGGAGTTAGGTTTATGTAAAAGAAAAGGTGGTTCATCTTACCCCTTCAATCCCCAATGGGTCTGTTTCACACCAACATCCCCAGTAGGAGTCACATCCTATTATGACCCACTATCCATAGGGAGTTATGGTGCCAATGGGGTTGCATTTGTGCTCTGGCTTGTCATTCTCAGCAGAGTTACATGCATACCATTACTCGTTATCCCCGGGGAGTCACACTTGCCCTCTTAATCCCTAGTGAAGTTCGTCTCCGTTTGCCACTCCTCGTAAGGCCACCGTCTTCATCTTAAGGCTCTCTGCTTGTGTATAGCCTTAGCTATTTTTATCCCCAAGAAGTCAAATTACTATCCACAGGCTTATGCAGCTTCACCTACATAGCGACCCACACCTTGGTCAGTGCTGCATGACCTTAAACTACACAGCCTTGGTCTTAGCCGCATGACCCTAAACTGCATAGCCATGGTCCATGCTGCATGACCTTAAACTGCATAGCCATGGTCCTTGCTGCATGACCTTAAACTGCACAGCCATGGTCCGTGCTACATGACCTTAAACTGCACAGCCATACTCCATGCTGCATGACCTTATACTGCATAGCCACGGTCCATGCCGCATGACCTTAAACTGCACAGCCATGATCCATGCTGCATGACTTTAAACTGCACATCCATGATTCGCATTACATGACCCTAAACTGCACAACCGTGGTCCAAACTATATGACCCTAAATTATAGCGAAGATCTAGTTGCACGACCTTAAACTACCTAGTCCTAGCTGCATAACTATAAACTGCATAGCCACGGTCCGAACTATACGACCATAAACCATAGTCTACATCCTAGCTGCATGACATTAAAAGCCTAAGCATCATAGTCCAAACTATTTGACCTTAAACTGTAGCGGAGGTCTAGTTGCAAGACCTTAAACTGCCTGGTCCTAGTTGCATGACTTTAAACTACATAAGCACGGTCCAAGCTATATGACCTTAAACCATAGCGCGCATCTTGGCACGCCTTAAACACACCACATACGTGCACACCCCCTTTATGTGCACTTTCATTGACACTTTCCTTAACTGACCCAATCGTGTGCGCGCACCACCTTCATCTTTTCCCCAGTGAACCCATTAACTTCACAATCACTATTCATCATTCCCCAGTGAGTCTCACCCATGCTCACAAAATGGAAAACCATCTCGCCGTCAGTTAGTGGGTCACCACTTTCACCTACCATTCATACAACATCCATCTTTCATAGGTAGCCTCATGCCATCTCCCCGAAGTGAGTCAAAACCATAACCATACTCACTCTATGGCCTCCACAGACTGTCATTCATCACTACTACGGTCCAGCTGTATGACCCTAAACTATAGTGCATGTCCTGGCAACATGACGTTGAAAGGCTTCGCACAGGTCTCGAAGGTATGACCCTAAACACGCCTTCACAAAAAAATGGGCATGGTGTATACCTGGACAAGGGAATACCATGAGTAAAAATGACGAATGGGCATAGTCACTAAACCATGAGTAAAATATTTTTGTAAAAACAAAAACCCAAGCACGGTTAAAACCCCAAAAGGGCACCGTGAGAAAAAACGAATGAAAAGGGCACTCCCGGTCCAGTGTGTGTTGGAGTGTGTAAAGAATCACACAGTTAAAATAAAGTCAGCCACACAATGCATACAAACAATAAAGTAAATAAGTGAGCGCTCGGCACTGATCTTACCAAGCGATGTGCGCTTCGAGCCAAAAATCGTGCGAAGCACAGTATAGATGGAGGGATAAGTAACCCCTCAAAAAGTAAACTCAGAACAATGAGACCAAGCACAGTCCGTGCTAAGTCGAGCAGCTCTCGATGTATTTATTTTTATTTTTAAATTTTTTTATTTTTTTTTAAATTTGATGGAATACAATTAAAATAAGCATGGTGAAAGCAGCGAAAACATGGTTTCAGTTAAAATTAACAAACTAAAATAAAATAAAAAAGTCGAAAATAACACAGACCTATCTAAAGAAAATATTCTTTTTATATTCTTAAAAAAATTATTTTAAGTAAAAAATTGGTCAACAAGGATCCAAAAGTCCCTAGAATAGGCCCGTGGGGTCCCAAAATTTTTGGGACACTTGCAGTTGGGCGACACTACTGGTGTCGCCCTTGCAAGGTGGGCGACACTGCTAGGTCGCCCAAAAACATTTTTTATTTTTTATTTATTATTTTTTTCTTGTTAATATTGATGAAATAAGACTATGTTAAACTTGGAAGAAGCAGAAAAAAAAATCTTTAAGATGAAATAAATTAAAATTGAGTAAAGAAAAAGTGTAAACATAACACTAAAATGTTTTTTTGGTATTTTTAAAAATTTTATTTTGCTCTGAAATTTTGTGATTAGTCACAAAAGAGACCCTAGAAATGATCTAAAAAGTTTCAAAAAATTATGAAACTTTTGAATTTGGGCAACACGGGGAGTGTCGCCTGAATCTGGGCGGCATTGGTGGTGTCGCTCAGGCGACACTGTTGGTGTCACCCAGAAAAATCAGGGTCTCGCAGAACCAAACCCCTGGATCCTGGTTACTACCAACTTCTGGGACTTTTTGTGACTGAACACGGTGAAAAATAGTGAATAAAATTTGTATTTTAGCACTTGGATCAAGCTCAAAATGCCCCACGATGGGCGCCAAACTGTTTACGATGAAACTATGACAGATCTTCAGATGAAGTTCCCTCGTATTTTGACACCTTAAACTTATAAAAATGAAAGAAAGAAAGTTGTAAAGAAAGTGGGACAAATCGAATTCAGGTTTGAGACTAGATCTGCCTGGCAACGAGCAGATCTACTCTCAGATCTGTGGCAGAGCTAGCATGTTCCAAGACATTACAAAATATGATTTTTAAGCAAAATGAAAAGATCAAAATGAAATGAAAATAATAAAGTAGAAGAAGTAAAATGAAGGAAATGATACCGAACAGGGCCAGATGGCCCGGGACTCCCAAACCTTCTAGAGCTTGCCCCTATCAGAACCGGTCATCTTTTGCCTCGCTGATTCAGATGTGGACCGGCTAGTCTCTAGTGCAAAGGGTTAGATCTAGGGTTGTTGTACCCTAGGTCTAGTTCTGATCTAGGGTTCTAATACCCTAGGTCTAGGTTTCCTCAAGCTTAAGGGTTAGGGTTTCAAGACGCTAGGTTTTTTTGAAGCTATCTTTAGGGTTCTAATCTCTCTCAGGTTTTTGATCTCCATCCCCCATCAAATGGCCACGAAAAGAGGCTTTATCGGGGTCAAAATTCGTTGGGAAGGATATATTCATGTAACAAACACATCCCCATCCAAAAATCCAAGTTTTGAAGGTCTTGAATCTGGGCGACACTAGGCGGTCGCCCAAGTCAAACTTGGTCAAAATTGATATTTTAAACTTTGGGTGTGTTCTTTAGCTTTTTGTGAAGCTACCAGAAATAATTTGGGTCAAAAAGGATTTTTTTACTATTTTTAATGATTGTTTGGTAAAACATGACATTTACAAAAATCTAAGTGAAAACAGGGTTTTTGCAGGTTTCGGACATGCAGATTGGTTATGGGTCACAAGATAGGTTGTATGAACTATGAATTTGGGTTTAATCAGTTAAGTTTAGTCTTAAGGGTTAAGAAAACCACCAAATTTTCAAGATTTAAAATGGAGTGTCTACACACACATCAATATTTCATGTTATATCTTTCTTATAAACTGCTATGAGAGTTAAAATGGAA